CTGATCCAAGTGAATACAAATATACTAGCACGTTTATGATCCGAATTCTGAGAAAGACTCGCATAAGAGAACGGAGGACCAAGGTTCTGAGAATATCAAATCTGCTCAAGCATAGCAGCACAATTCTGTCTGATGTGGCTTCCAAGGAAAAGTCCCTATACAAGAAAGCTTAGGATTCAAACTCTGAGTTTGTGAAGTCCTCCTCCATCGGATTTTATCTTTTTAGATTAAGTCTTCACACGTGCACATCTATGCATCCTCATCCGGAGATTCGCAGTAGTTCGAGAAGTCTCGACAATGAAATTTCCGTGTAGTGCGAGGAGAGTTCACATAATGATGTATATTTTTAGTGACAGTGATAATGTTCTTTCGGTAGTGAGGTGAAAATTTGATGATTTGGGTGTACGTCCAAGTTACAAGCAGAAATATTTTTCCAAGAAATCCACAACACCCATCCCTCTGGCCTCTATGTTTGACCTTTCTACGTAAACTGACCGAGCAAATCCTATAATGATAGATGTCGCAATCCGTGTTCTTTGTGTGAAAGGAAATTCTTAACGAATATTTACGCTTTTATGTTCAATGTTCTACCGCTAGACCACAACCCGGTTCGTTCCATCATCTACTTCTTACTTCAAATTAGGACCACTTTTTAGTGATGTGAGAATAGCAGTGAATCTACCGGCAGTAGGGTAGTAACTCATCTTTGATCTCCGGACCTACTAGGTGAGCATTAATAAAGCAAGTTTGTGCTCGATAGAAGAAGTATAACATTCGTGAAACCGCGCCCGTCCCCTGGATCCACGCTTCTTTATGAGACAAGAGCAATAATCGAGATTATCCTGCATACGAGAGATAAAGTATAAGATGGAATGAGGATCGAGGAACGCTTCGATATTGTGAACGACGATAAGCATATGAAAGAAATAACGATAGTCATCTAATCTGAAGTGGCAATAGCTATCCGCTTCTATTCCACGGAATATCAAATTGTTCGGCCGTCAGATCAGTAGAGAAAACATTTCCCTCCATATCTATCACGAAGTCTCAAAAGTACAGTCTGTACCACTATCGGCATCGAAGACCAGACTTTTGATTTTCTCTACCACTTACATGCACTCCTAAATATAGCTCCAGGTATTTGAAAGTCTTGAGTGACCATCACCTCGTGAATACAGAGCTCAGGATTATCGAATATTACTTTTAAAGGTTCGTTTTCTTTCAAACAACGAGCTGCAAGCCGGGGAAGGCAATACCAGTTGTAATCTTCAAGAATTTCTCGTTATTCACGCAAGAGATTCAGTCTTCTTTCCAAAACACGTCCAAGGGGCTTCGATAATTATGCAAACCCGATCGCTTGTGAACCAATAGACTCTCATCCGGCATAAAGCTCGCAAGGTAAACGACAGCAGAACTATAATAAAAAACGACAGTGATACTTTCAAACAGATGAGACTGGGGATATAAGATTATATGCCTGGATCGCAGTCAAAAGATGTAAGTAAAATGCTCGTACTCAGTGTCGTAAGTTGCAGCTCTCAAGAGAAACTTGCCTGCAAAGTAATCGAACAACAATTTGAGTTCGTCTGGGAGTTTACATACTTTGTAGAATGGATTTCCGTCGAACGTACGCAGATAAAGATGTGTATAATGCAATGATCACAGAGCTTTGATTCTCAAGTGGATTAATCTGCTCCAAGTACGAGGTGAATCATAAGCTCCACCCATTGAGATCGGCTTGGGTCATTCACAAACACCTCATGGCCAAAAAAAAGTGAATTATATATATCAAGATTATTAGTTGCCAAACGAGAGATGAACTCGGCCCCAATCACTATGAGGTAACTTTTGCAGTTTGTATATAAGTCTTCAAGTTTTCTACAACTTGAAAGGCTATGCAAGCATGTCAGCCCTTCCTGGGAAGATTTCAAAATGGGCTTTCGGCAGCCCATCAAGGTTACCAAGAAATGGACCCTCCTAGGGCGACCGGAATTTTTCCATTATTCAAGATCGGTCGTAGCGATGCCTTGGCTATTGTCATTGAGAACCATCGATGACAAACTCTCAGCCAAACACAAAAAACATTAAGTAAAGACAGTAGAACCATTGTCTCAAGTTTTTTTACTGTCATCCGCCGGAGTACTCCTAGAAGTATGTCCTCGCAGAACGAGATATATTTCGGACATGTAACCCTATGCGTACGAAAATCATACCGAGACGCATCTCCGAGGATTGGAGAAATCCAAATCACATATCATGCTTTGCAATATGAAATAGGACATACTCATTGAGTAGAATATGAGGCTCTGCACGACTTATATGTATATATATCAGGGGCTCTACTGGTGTCTGTTCTTGAATACATTAGCAATTTTCATTATCGAGTAAATTTAAGGACTTTTTAGAGGTATGAGTATCATATTAGTGAGTGGGAGTCATGAGAGTGTTTGGAGTGCGTGCAGTGAATCTATTGAGGAAGGGTGGCTTCCCGAATAAGCTAATCTGGTCCTTCCAAGGTTGCTATACAAATGACGAAATTAGAAATCTTTGGTATAAGAACTTTTGACCTTCCCATTGTTATGGTTCATCCCAGGCCGAAAATAAAGGCACTGGAAATCAATGCTGGTTGTAGGATAGTCATAGATTTCCCTAACACTTTCCATTGAGAATTGTAAAAGTGTTCGCAAGGTGGGTAGCTCGAGGAGTAACGCAAATACACATTCTGTTATCCGAGCGATGACAAGGGTTTAGCGACAACAGCTAAACTTCCGACAGCGAGTAAGAAGGTTTTCAGATGAGACGATATTAGTGACTAGATATCTGTAAAGCTTTGAAGAATTCGGGATCTAAGCGTGTGACCTGTATGTTCTTCCATGGACACAAACAATCCCGCACGGAAGGCCTATTGCATTTATGAAACTCTTCTGGTAGAACGATATGGCACTATCACTATGCGTTTTGCATGTTTTTGTATTGACTTGGATGCAAAGCAGCAGCAATGTAGCACGAGATTCACGGTAGCCTGATACGTCGCCCGATAGCTTTCAATCAGTTTGCAGTCTCCGTACCATACTTTCCAGACTTTCCAACTCTCCATATTTGCGAGCTTCTTCGATACCGGCTTGAGCATCTCCAGCTTTATTGTAAGTAAGTGTATATACCTCGGAGAAGAATTATATCGCCTGAAATGTCGCGTTCATGAAGGCAATCTGTTTAAGGATACTTCAATGTTTCCAGATAATAGAATTACCGATGCTCTGGAGTTTGCCGCTTGGAGACCATTGAAGTACGATTATAGAGAGGCCACGAATGGTAGTTTTCATGTATGATGTAGTCAAGGAAGACCATCTGGAAGAACGGTAAATGACAGCGAAGCAGTAATCATGGACAACATTGTTTAAAATGATAATCTGTATCTTGATTTCATTACTGCCAGGGTATCGTTTGCCCAATAGCCGAGTTGATCTTTCAGAAATTGATATATACGCTTCAATTTGCCCGGTCAGCTGAACCAGAAGGGGTGCGCAAAGCTTAGAGCTAGTACTTGGCTTTATTGATTTGCAATTTTCTTTTCAAATTGTTTTTTTTGTATGCAAAGGCAGAAGACATATATATATATATAATCTGTGAAGGTGTTTCGCCCAAAGGAATGTGCTTACACCCCAAATTTCGATGGAAATGGTTCATTCATACAGCAAGATCAAATAACTCAAAAGTTCCTCTGGAATTGATTGATAACATCGTTGTTCAGATTGGAGTTGAGATTAAAACAGTGATTTTGTAAGAACCATGAAGCCCTCAAGGTCACTGATATAAGCAAATGCATCCAGAAACTCCAAAAATGGTGCCATTGCGGCCTGAAAACCAACTGCAAACAAGAAGCATCCAAAATATGTGAGTCTCGTCGCTGCTTCAATCTGAATGTTGTTTGAATGATGTCAGACCTATCAAACTCGGCAGTCATTCGCCCAGGCTAATCCGACACATCTCAAATTATCGTTTCGGTGCATCATAAATGAGTAAGACAGGGTATTCTCACCGTTTCTTGTCTTGAAATGCCTCCCTTCGAACTTCTTCAGCAGGTATCAAAGTCAAGAGTTGAGGTTCGACAGATAACCTGATGTCCCACTCATCCGCAATTCGCGGAATTGGATTGGTCAAAGCTTGGTCGGTTAACCCACCACCTTATCATTCTGGCCATCGAGGCCATGTAATCGGGCACCTCTAATGGAGCTAACCTAGAATTACAACAACTGCCTCAATTCTGCTCAGCCCAGTCTTCAACGCTGTCAAAGTTTCAAAACAAGTGGACGCTTATGAATTGGAAATCCAAACAAGATCAGCTAAAATGACAAGCTTTCTGGGGACCATGAAAAGCAGAGACAATCTTTTTACTATCAGGTCTGCGAGAAACAATTGTGCTGGTAGAATCTTCTTGGCTCCCTTGGCGATTGTTTCTTCACATATGAAAGGGGTTCGTTCGCAGTTTTCCATTATGTACAGTGTACTGTCATCGAAATCTCGTTACACGTTCACTATCCGTGAGTCAGATTATTGCTACAACGCACCGGAGTCGATTCAAACGACCCTCAGTAGCTCAGAAGGACACCAGTCCGATATCGAAGTAGGTGTCGTAGGCTTAAGAGCCATCGTTTGACGTGGGTCATAACCTTTCCTGCTTTGAGCAAGTTTATGGTTGTTTGATCAACCCCCTCTTAAACCGACGTCCCCACGCTACGCCATCAAGCGTGTTTCAATTGTCAATCCATTTTTTTCTCAGAACGCCAGATTAAGATTCTGAATATCCCATCAAACTTTGTATCACACACTTGTGATGTTCATTTGAAGTTTCCCAAAGTCTCTTTCTACCGACGTTTTTGTACGCTGTGTACTCTGTGTACTCTGTAGCTGTGTACATCATTACACAATTTCAAGGGCAGGACTCACCCTTATTTTAATCGTCATTATATAATCTCTAATCAAATCCTCAAATTCTCAAGATGGATATGTCAGATGGTATGACAATGGGTGGTGCACCAACAGATGGCTCAGCGTTGAATGCTACTGGCTTCGAGATGTCCAACATGACGCAGGCTGCGGACTACTTGGGAGAAATATTGGATGATTCTGTTTTTCAGATAGATGGAAATGCTGCAGCAAGGCATTTTTGGTATGTAGTCTGTGCGGTTATCGGCATAGCTGCTTTTTTCAACTTCGTACAGAAGGCTACTATATTTTTCAGGTAAGTTCATCTTCACGTGTTGCTGCTAAAATTATTAACAACTCATAGATTGAGGGCAGCTGCATCGAATAAAGCACGACCAGCATCGCCATCCAATCCTTTGACAATATTGCTAGCTACAATAACAGCAATTGGTCGGGAAGCATCATATTCCCAGTTCATACCACACAATGAAATTGCCGCAAAATACTTCAAGATCCCTCCTCTTGGGACTATTATGCTCTTGATATTACATCTAGTGTGGGTCATTATCCTCGAGTTTGCGAACAACAACGTTTCGGGAGCCCAACACTTTACTTCATTGGGCGTTCGCGCATCCTGGTTGGCTATTGCACAAGTCCCTCTATTAATACTCTTAGCTGGAAAGAATAGTCCACTTGGACTTGTCAGTGGTATCTCATATGAACGCTTGAATGTTGTTCACCGATGGACTTCAAGGATTCTTCTGTTTCTTGTTACCCTGCATGTGATTTTCCTTCACTTAGCTTGGAATGCATCTGACCTAGGACCTCTGGAATATTCTACCGATTCGTGCATTCCAACTGGCTGGGGAGCGTATGCCCTGCTGCTATGGATGAATATTAGCACTTGCGCACCCATCAGGAATTTCTCTTATGAGTTCTTTGTAATTCAGCACATCATCACCTTTTTCGGATTCATCATTGCCATTATGATGCATCTTCCAGATACTGCTTTATACTCTAGAATTTAAATTTATATCCCTATTGCATTATACATAATTGACAGGATAATCCGTACCGGGAGATACGCTTGGAACAACATTCGCACCCCAACGGCAACATTGAAAGTTTTAGAAGGTGGTGTTACTCGGGTTTGTATCGAAAGCAAAGCTGTCAAGAAGTGGAACCCTGGTTCTCACGTTCTCCTATCAATACCTCAACTTGGAATCGGGCAATCTCATCCAGCAACGATTGCTTCCACACCATCATCACATGATGGCAAGCTGGTCTTCTTGCTTAAAGCACACAAGGGATTCACGGGTCGCCTATTATATGCAGCAGAAAATTCGCCAGCATCGAATTCGCCATGGAAAGCCCGAATTGATGGACCATATGGTAATACTGTTGACTATGCTGCTTTCGACACTGTTCTCCTCATCTCAGGTTCAACTGGTACAACCTATACGCTTCCAATTCTCTTAGACATTGCAAATCGTGCACAAAGCACCCGACTTCCAGTCCAGCGCATCGTCTTCGTTTGGATAATCAAAAATACTTCGTGGACATCTTGGATTGCAGACGAACTCGCATCAGCAGCCGAGAAGCTTGACGCCGTTGGAATCGAGCTCACAATTCGAATCCACGTAACCTGCGACAACAACTTTACAACCGGAGACAGTAATACAGTAGCTAATTGCTGTGCTTGTGACAAAAGTCCCAGTCCTTGCTGCTGCATATCTGTCGATGCTGATGCTGATGACGATGAAATCACATCTATCGATGAAAAGGGCACTAAAATCAGCGCCCAGCCGAAAATCACAAGTGCTTCTAGTATTACTTCAGGGACTCGATCATCAATTTTACCATGCGCAGTTTTCCACAGCGGGAGACCTGATTTCCATCCCATTTTAGGCGAATTATTGGTGAAAGCCGAGGGGGAAACTGGAATTGCTGTTTGTGGACCACTTGGGTTGAGTAGTAATGTGAGGACTACGGTGGCGAAATGCAGTAATGATAGGGCTGTTCATAAGGGGACTGGAGCCCAAGGCATTTTCCTGCATGCTGAAGGGTTTGGATGGTAGACTTTTGATTTATTTGGAATGGAGTTGGGTACTTTTTGAAAGATTTGGGAATGAAAAATACCCATATTGTAATGGCTAGAAAAGATCGGTGACAGGAGGGATAAATGGTAATGAATATGTCTTGGATGGCTTTCCCACTAGGACCATGAAGCAAATCATAACTGTCAAATTTACTTGATACATAAATCCGTCATGTAGATCAACCTGTATAGCATTTGATCAGTATATTTATATTGTACAGTAGCTGAGCTGAGTAGCTCGAGAGTAGTCTTGGATGCGGAAGACGGCCCGAAGATTAACCTAACCCCGGATAAGACTCTCTCTGAACCGTGCACCTTCAAAAGTCAGGGCTGTAACAATGCTTTACTTCTTTAGTTCTGGCTTACGAAACTCCACTCTAACAATCAAAAGTAGATCGGATAGCGGCGACGCGCCAAAGCATCATATTACAGTAAAGCAGCGAGTGTTGTGTTTCCAAACACGCATGTTCCGTGCTGCTTTTCAGAATGGATCAAGTTAATTCAGGTCTTCACCAGCAGATACCCACAACATACAGACAATTGCAGCCACAAGCAGAACAAGCTCTCCAGCATGGTCAACCTCATCTTCACCACCACACTCTTACGTCCCAGGCAGGACTCGATCTGTCGGGTTTGGTCCAAGATGATAACAATTCCGTCTATCACCCAGACTTGAGAAGCTTGCAGGATCCAAATGCAGGACATCCTATTGCTCATCAATATCCTTCTCCAATCCCTTTTGAACGAAATAATGGGCACCCTCAAATGCATGTTCAGAACACTGGCATTCAAAATACTGGACTTCAAAATAGCATTCAAAATAATGGCAGCCCCCATACCCCTCAGCAACAACATCCTGGACCAGGACAATTCGGAATCTTGACTGCAGGTCCCTCTCTTCACCATAACCCAATTGGCAGATTGCAGCAAGGCTTGCCACAAGATTTGCAGCAGGATGATAATTTATTTGGCACACCCGATGAAACAGATCAGAAAAGCATTGGACATCATTCTCACAAGATTGTTCCTAATCCTCCGGATTTGGCTGCATGGAGAGAGAAGTTGTTTAATGTCAATGAGATGATCACTTTGAGTGAAGAAGAGTAAGTTCATTAACTCAAATATCGAAGTGTATTTTGCTGATCAACTCAATTCTAGGTATAATACATATTTTCCTCATGTCGATAACGTTTACTCCCATCGGTCAACTCAAAAATACAAGCGCAAGCCATTTGTTTCTCACTACTGGGATTGTCGTCTCAAAGGTAGGCCGCCAGGAACTGCCAAATCCGATGATCCGAACAAAAAGAAGCGAAAGCGCACTGCGCGAGAAAGAGATCTTTGCGATGTCAAAATCAAGATTACAGAGTACTTTCCAGGTGCTATGTTGCGGGCGGATTTTCAACCAGATGGAGGCGCATCGGCAGATCCATCCCAAGCGAACAACTTTTTTGCGCAAGCTGGGCCTCACCAACAACAATTTGCTCTTCCTCTCAACAACATAAACATCCCACCCAATCATCCAGGCGCCACAGGTCAACGATACTATGAAATTCAGCGTGTCAATGGAAACGGTGGCAACGGCAAGGGTGATGGTGTTGCAGGACCTCACAAGCATGATCTGGCGAGAAGTGATGAGATCAAGAAGAACAGCATTCTTCGATTTCTTCAAAAGAGAGAGAAGGAGGATAAAAAGACCCAGGTAAGATCCTCTGGTTCTATCAGTATTACTATCCAGCAAACATCACATGGGAAATACAATCGCAAGAAATGCAGCCACAGGGCGTTTGGCGATTTCAGATCTTTGGGTCTCGATTACCCTTTTCTGCCCCGCTCCTTCTCGTGGCGTAATGTATAACTACATCATATCAAGTCTCACCTGCCTCGCTTTTTTTTTCGACAATGAATGCCTTTGGAACATGAATTGAAAAGGTTCACCCAGAAGATCTTACTCCCATTCCTTTGTTACATCCTTTGGATAGAAGCAATAGTCGCACATAAGTTCGAAAATGACTAATACAACTTGTGAACAGAAAACTTATCATAAGAGAGCCAGTGGCCTAGCTTTGAGTACTGTAAAGAAACATACCAAGGAGAATGAATTGAAGTTGTTTGGCAGTTGCTTTTGGTAAGTTTACTTTACATAACAGTCATGCCATATCAGTAGAAACCTGCACTGAACTAACATTCCGTGCCAGTCCTTTTGTTCAGCGAGTTTGGATTGCTTTAGAAGCCAAAGGTATTCAGTATCAATACATTGAAGTTGATCCATATAAAAAGCCCCAATCTCTGTTAGAGGTCAATCCCAGAGGATTAGTTCCTGCTATTCGCCATGGAGATTGGGGTTGTGGTGAAAGTACTGTTTTGATGGAATATGTAAGCCTCACACTTTCTTACTCTTCTATGTTAGATTTCAAGCAGTTCCCAGTCTTCGATAATCATATGGCAACCATCTAACATCTTACAGATCGAGGACCTTCAAACTGGCCCACCTCTATTTCCCCAGGATGCGCGAGTTAAGGCTCATAGCAGACTTTGGGCCGACCACGTACGTTTTTTAATCTTTCTCTTTCGTCCAATCCATTAACAACTGTCTAGATTGATCGTAAAATTGTCCCCACATTCTACGCACTTCTTCAATCCCAAAATTATGAAAAGCAAGAAGAATTGACCGCAAAACTTCGCGATGAAATTTCTCAGATTGTAGACGTATGCGATCCTCAGGGTCCATTTTTCCTCGGTCCAACACTCACTTACACCGATGTTCATTTCGCACCATGGATTCTCCGTTGCCGTCGTGTACTTAAGCATTATCGGGATTGGCAAGATCCGCAACCGGGTAGTCGTTGGGCGATCTGGTTTGATGCGATTGAGAATAATGAGTTCGTTAAGGCGACAACTAGTGCGGATGAATTGTACATTGATTCTTATGAGAGATATGCGATGAATAGACCGGGTACGAGTGAGTTAGCGGATGCGGTTAATGGGGGATTCAATTTACCTTAAGAGGGATTCGAGATGGGATAGGACGGGGGTTGTAAATATGGTGGGGGATGGGATGAATTAAGTTAGATGGGATGGGATAGGAGGGGCGGGAAAGGTAATGAATGATCTTCTTTAATGCACCGCAACGCGACGCAAGTTCAAGGGCTGGTTACTACATGGGAGGGGAGGCCAACAAATTTGCTTTCAAGTTTTGTTGCCGAATGGTTAATCACGATTTTGAATGTAAGACACTTCTGGTCGGGAGAATTGGAATCATCCTGAAGCTCTATTGGATCTTTGGAATCCTTTCTTATATCATGATAACGCTGGTTTAGTTTAGTTGGTTGTTGGTAGTAGAATAATCAATAATTAAGGATCTCATTTGAATGTTAAAGAGCATGAGATTTTGAATGTCTAATATTGTGATATGATAGAGGGGAGGAGAAGGTCGATCTGTGCATGTATGTCGGGTATTAGAAATGCTGTCTTTTTTCTCGTCAAGGTAAAATACAATTTAGGTTTCCGCCTATAACCCTGATCCAATTGTCCAACCATCCACTCACAGATCCATTGCAGCCAATTTCTACACTTCCCACAATCTCACAGCTCTAGTCCTTTCCCTTCAGTTCTCTTCTCTCTCTCTCTCAATTCTCTTCTATCCTCTCTACTCCATCACATACTTCATCACATCCCAATCTCAAGTTCTACGCGACCATCTCCCCATTAACAAGCGTATCCCAATAGCCTCCACAAAAACATCTTCTCTGCTGCATAACCAGCCACTGTAACGCGGGTCTCTGACTCAGCACATCTTCCATGACCGCTGCGCATCTTGCACATCTTCTCCAGCGCTTTGTGGTATTTCCACTTCCTTGCCCTCCATTCGTATTACCATTAGCACTGCCATTTGTGTTACCACTGCCCCCTGCTCCTTGCGGTGTAGCCAATCCCTGAATTGTCGGTAGAGAATTATCTTTATCCACTGGGTTTCCATTTTCAATTGCTTTGTTCGAAGATAATTTAGAGGAAGTTGGGGGAGGGTTGATCAACCAAGTTTTCCTAAAACAATCCATAGTAACCCCTGACCCCTTTCTCTTCGCTACCGATTCCTCATCCTCGTCCACTTCCAACATTGTGAAATCTGCAAACCATAGATTTGCAGGATCGATTTCTAGACGAACGCTAGATAAATAACCAGGTGCTGCTACATTGGCTCCCAAGTCGTTTTGAGTCTTCGGTTCGTTATCCTGTACGCCTCTGAAGAGATCGATGATAACTGCTTTAAATGCTGTGGGGATTTCGCCACCGAGAAGCATTTTTATTTCGAGATTATTGCGCGAAGGGCCTGTGCTGTTATTTGTGTTTCCTGATAGAGGCGGTTTATGGTTTGTGTATGCGGATTTGATTGAGGAGGTTAGGGATGAGAGAAGGGCTTCGAATGTTTTGATACGGACGATACAGTTACTCGTCAAATTAGCAATCTGTACATAAGCGGCCCTCAGTGTCGGGGAAATGCTTTGCTGTCCTTGTCCTCCTTGGCTTGGATGATTGGTATTGGTTGCGATGGCTTTGCGAGCTACGTAGTCAAGATGTTGGAGGCGGCGACAGATGGCAGTAAGGAAGCCACGGGTAGGAGAAGAAAGGAGGAGATGAAGGGTTACGTTGTTGGTGGCATGGAGGTAGGCGAGAAGTTCAGGGAGTGAGAGTTTGGTGGGATTTGTTACGGAGATATTTTCTGGAAGGGTGCTGGGAAGTTCGAGGAGAGTGTCGGTTATCCAAGCCATGAGATCGAGAACCCAGCGAACAGAACCAGCAAGGGCAGTGATTACCTCTAGAAATCTTGTTAGCTTCCCGAGATAACGAGATGGGAACATTGCATACCTGGATCATCGAGAGGCGTTGATTTCGTATCATGAGTTGGACCAGGAACTTTCATGTTTGCAGCCATAGTGACAAGCACAACAGTATTGCGCAACTGTAAAACGAGCCATGAGA